TTTTATTCTTTATCGATCTAAAAGGTTATTGCCATAGGTATAAAACGCCTCTCCCTACCATTCTGAAGATTCTCTATTTGGTTCATAATAGAAAGCTATTTTTTGATCCGCAATATTCACACCTTCCATGTCTTTATTACAAAATGTGATTGCTTCTAGACAACTCAGTTAAGAAAGTTTTTAGTGCCATTTTACTGACAAAGTATATTTTCATTGAAAGAAAGATACGATCACCTCTGCACTTTTGTTGTCTCAAATTTTGGTCCATTTTTCTTAACATTGGCTCAACGCAAGTAGAAAAAAATGAGAATTGTGACACCAAGTATTTCAGTACTCTTTTTCCTTTAGTTCCATAACTTTTGCTTCTTTTCCACAGTACGTATATGTTCAAATTAGAAGTATATGTAACCAGCTGTTGAGTCACATCACTACCACAACTAGATTCCCCTTCCTATGACTTTCAGAGACGATCTTTGAGAGACGATCGATCTTCGGACTTTACCACAGTCTCATATATAAATTGATTAAAACTCTACGTCTTGCCTTCTGAAACATTATTTTTAACACAAGATCGTCAACGTGATACAACTTGGCATAGTTTTCTGGTTTTGTAGGGTCACTAGAATACAATTTCGATACAATTGAAGTGGTCTCAATCGATGGCAATCTGAATCTGAAGTCAGTATCCTCGAACCAGTTCGTGTATTGACCCTAACATCAAGTCACTCCTCTAGAAACCAGTTTCCGGAATTTCAAACCGACTTGAGAAATCAGAAATTGAAAAAAAAAACATTGGAATTCACGAGCTTATTGCACCATACCCCATTTTTTTTATTGAAGAACTGTTATGTTCATAATATATGCTTCATCTTTTTTCTTGGAAGGGAACTGAGGCCCGCTTAAAACGGCTTGTACTTGCTGTAGCTTCAGTTCGTGGTTAACGTATACGCCGCATAGTACACGGGTAGTGTCTCATGTCAGCGTGAGGGATAGTACAAAGCACAAAACATATAATACAAGAAGGTCGTTTTCATAATACCAAAATCGAAACACCACTGACATTAAAAGACAACAACTGGCTCCCTCACTGTGTCTGGCCGCCCAAAAAAATGGAACTAAAGATAGCCGGGACGATAATGATGATTACTTTATTATCTACTGCCGGTAAAACAGATGCCAATTTGCGCGGGCTTCTGAAAATACATTCTAAGGGTCGTATATGACACTATACTAAAATTAGAACTAATTTCAGTAATTAATTAAGAACTTTTTAATCAGGCATAGTATCATCCACAAATTGCAACAAAAATGTAGCAGTTTCTGTATGATACTATGCAAGATTAAAAAGTTCTTAGTTAATTACTGAAATTAGTTATAATTTTAGCATAGTGTCATACGACCCTAATACTACTTCCTTTTAATATTAAAAAATATATACGATATTACGATTTATAATGGTAAAATCGTATTTTACTCGTTTAAATAAACATAAAAAAAACTGCAAAATTTATAAAACAGTATTTATTAGCAATTTTAATGTGGTTATTAATGTTATAAAGAGGGATAATCCCCTCGATTCCAAATCATTGAGGCTAATTTCTAGCCATGGAATAATGGCGCGGTTATTAATGTTGCATACAAACAAACAATTCTATTCACAAACTTTATATTTTCTGTTAAACCTGTTTTCTAAACACACAAACAAAATGGAAAGTTGACGGAGAAAAAACAATCTTTTAAGAATATGAATGTTTTGACATCATAAATAAATAATAAATATTTTCCTTTTGTGTGTAAACAAACATAACCCTTTTCACTATATTTAATTGGAAAACTCAATTTAATATTTACTTACCTTTTTGCCAAAACTTCCAATATTTTTCTCATACTTACTACAAATACATAATATAATCAAGAAAAACGTCATGCTAAACAAACGTGAGTCGTGAATTTCAGTGTGATAAAGTTAGTAAAAAATTTAAAGACACTAGATTTTACATAGTGAAAAAACTTGTAACAAACGTAACCAACTTAAAGTTACTTCCTTTTCCTCACCCCGTTCTTCGTGTGTCTGGACAAGCTCCATCCCCTCCCTGTTGCGAATCTGGCAATGCTAGTTGCACAGCTATGGTACAAAGGCTTTAAGGATAAGAACAAGGCAGGTATTAATTTAAAGCAAATAAAAAACAACTTCCTTACAACAAAACAAAGTAAGACTAAATTTAACGTAATTTAATAGATACTTATTATATTATCAAATACCTACATAGCTAATAATGAAACTATTATGAAAATTAAAAAATATTTTTAATTACACGAAAAATATTACTAGACTATCAAGTAAAGGGCAAAAGTTGCGGCGAATTAGAAATATTTTCGAAATATATTTCTCCATAATTAAGTACCTACTCGTTTTGGGAATTTACATGATATAAATTTTTTTGCTCAAAATGTCCCGAATACTTGTGTAAACAAATTTCCTGAAAATTCGTTTGAATGTCTATTACAAATGTATCCAAACGTTTTTGAAATATATAGGTTGAAAAACGAACTTAATATTTTGTACAGAAACGAACAATTTCGTAATTTAGAAGTTCAAAAAAAGATAGAAATATTTTACAGGGAATTTAAAATGGTATTTTCGGAAACATACAAATTGTTTTGCCCAGTTTTAACAATTCTTGCAACAAGTGTCTCGGTAGAAAGTGTCTGTGTGTGGGGGCAAACGAAAAGCTGGCGGTGTTGTTTTATATGTAAATAGATAAGCTGGCTACTTTATGAAAATTTGTTTTCATATTTTTTAATATTCATAAACCAAATACGAACAATTTTGTTAACTTATTAGGTAAATATATCACTTTGTTTTTTTTTTTGTTACTTAATTTTATTGTAAATACAATTTTGAAAGTTCTGATATTATTATTAATAAAATAATTTTTTAATTTACGGTTATTGTAGGGCTATTGGCGAAGATCTCCATAATAAAAAATGACGTGGAAATTTATTCCTATTATTTGAAAGCGGATTAATAAAATATCCAAATAGTTGCGTATTATTTTTTATAAAATATAAAACTAAAAGTTTCCAGATGCGTTTAATCGTTTGACCCTGAAAATTTAAAAATGTTTGCCTATGGCGCTCTTTTTTTCTTTCTTGTCCACCCAGTAAAAAAGCCACGGGCCTCACCTGTTCACAATGTCACGATCCGCCATCGCCATTGGTACAAGCAATATAAAAAAAGCAATCCCCAATACAGGGTGTTAAAAAAAATAGTGTAAAATATTTAAGGAGGTAATAGTATGAACCAAAATAAGCAGAAAAGTCTCAATAAACATGGGTCCGCAAAGTAACGGTTGCGGAGATATGGAATGTTTTATGTTTTTTAGCCCCTTTTTTATTTTGCAAAAACGTTGTGTATTTTCTTATAATAGTTGGTTGATGTTTAGTAAAATAAACAGTACGTATTTGACAGTTGTTCTCAGTGCACAAGTTTTCTTTCGCTATGGCTGGTTACTCTAACGCAGAATTAATAGACATGCATTTCATGTATGGTCGTGCTAATGGGTACGCCACCGAAGCGCGACGTCTTTATCTTGACGCTTATCCAAATCGCCAGATTCCTTCACAACGCATGTTTGGAAGAATTCACCAAAGATTGCGTGATACCGGTTCCTTGAGCAAACAGTGCCATTTATCCGGACCAAGGTCGGTATCCACTCCAAGAGCAGAAGAAGAAATTCTAGCACTGGTAGAGCAGAATCCAGGTACGAGTGTGCGGAGAATATCAGCCGAGGTAGGAATTAGTGGTCCTCTTGTTTGAAGAATCCTTCACGAGCAACTGCTTTATCCATACCATGTGCAACGAGTACAGGCCTTAAATCCAATAAATGATCATCAAGCACGTTTGTTTTTTTGCCGCTGGTTTCTACGTCACGATGCTAAAGACCCTCGTTTTCTTGCAAACATTCTTTTTACTGATGAGGCCGGGTTCACAAGAAATGGAGTGTTTAATTTTCACAATACGCATATTTGGGCCGACGAAAATCCTCATGCTCTAATAGAATCTGGACATCAGGCATGTTTTTCATTAAACATTTGGATGGGTATTGTAAGTGACAGGTTTCTAGGTCCTGTTGTTTTACCAAACCGATTAACAGGCGCTGCTTACCTCAACTTTCTGCAGAACCACTGTATGAGTTTTTGGAAGACATTCCTTTGAATCAGAGGCAACAAATGTGGTTCCAGTATGATGGTGCTCCAGCTCATTTTTCCATGGTCGTTAGAGAGCATTTACACCAAACTTTTCCACATAGATGGGTAGGAAGGGCCGGACCTGTTTTATGGCCTCCAAGATCGCCTGATCTGAACCCTCTAGATTTCTTTGTTTGGGGATATTTGAAGACATTAGTGTATGGTACTCCTGTAAATAGCCTGGAAGAGCTGCAGCTACGGATTAATCAAAAGTGTCAAGAAATCCAAACCAAGGAGGGTGTTTTCGAAAGAGTTCGAATATCGTTGAGACGAAGATGTCGTGCCTGCTTGGAAATGGACGGAGGGCACTTTGAACATCTTCTGCAACTTTGTTTTTTGTTTGTTAAAAGCTTCCTTTGTCGGTTTATTCCTAATAAAATAAAATGTTTGAAAAACGAATACTGGTCCATATCTCCGCAACCGTTACTTTGCGGACCCATGTTTATTAAGACTTTTCTGCTTATTTTGGTTCATACTATTACCTCCTGAAATATTTTACAGTCTTTTTTTAACACCCTGTATATTCCTTTGTTACCTTTTACTTGTTTTGGCGTTTTTTTAACCCACTCTATCAATTGCTTTTGCTAATATCGCAATAAAAGTGATATTTTTAGGTAAGGTACGAGTAAGATAATTGAATATTTAAAAAAAAAATTGAATTTTTAGTAAAATAGTCCCGGTCTCTTTTAATTTTCCTTTAGCGACATTGCAAGTGAAAATGAATGAAATTAATATCTTACTTTTTCTAGTAAACACCGAAATCAACCACACCGTAGTCGCAGAACCGCTTGAGAAAGAGGGACAAAGCTTCTGGTCGTTCAAGAACTACACAGTCACCTTGAGACCTGAACGAGTCATCTTCAAATTCGACAACCTTTTCGATGGTGATTCCAAGCTAGGCGACGAAATGAACAAGGTTCTCAACGACAACTGGGACGAGGTGTTTACAGATGTCAGAGAAGGATACGAGAAAAGCTTCGGACTCATATTCCAAGATCGTGCCAACAGCATCTTTACACAAGTGGCTCTTAGCGATATTTTCTTGGAATAAAGACTATGAAATAGATGTAGAAGTTGTAGCGTATTCAAATTAGCTGAAATAACTCTGTTTTTTTCTTAAATCTCAAAAAGTGTCGTTTCATGGCGTGGAAAAACATAATTCTGTAAATTATACTTATAAACATAAACTAAAAACTATTATTATATTCTGTGAAGAGTATGGGATGTAGTACTGAATAAATAGTAAGGAGCAATGTAACTTTATTATTATTTAGTGTGTAGCAAAAACAGAAAAATATTCTTAAAGATAAATATTTTCATTTAAAATATTATTACCAAAAGCTGTTGTTATTCGCAGCATTAATACATTTTTTAATAGTATATTACATAATGTGTGTGGTAAAATTTACTTACCCAAGTATTATGTAGAATACTTTATCTAAAACAGCGCTTTTTTAAAAAATATTTGTTTTAAATTGTTATACGCCTCTATTACTGTTTCCTGTGCTTAATTTTGAAAAAAACAAATGGAATCGAGAGTGTGAAGGGAAAATATCAGAAATCTGGCAATAAATCTTAGAAGATTTACTGCCAGAAAAGTATAGGGCAAGGTATGAAAAGGAGTACAACAGTTTCACACAAAAAGCGCACTAAACATTAAGAAAAAAATACTCTAATCGCTTATTTCACTGATAAGTTTAAAACCAAAAAACCTTCCTTACTTTGGTGTTACTTCTCCATGCTAAAAACTACTTTGGCTGTAAAAAAGAACGTATATATTGAAAAACATCTCAGACTGATAGCACTTTTTAAGAAGAAATCGGTTGGAAACAAAACAGAGTATTTAGAAGAGATGGTGAATGTAGGGTTTGTTCTATTATTTGTTGCGATTTTTTTCATTCCAAACACAAGAATGTTGTGGTTGGAAGTCGTCTGTTGGATGGAAGTTGCAGCTGAAGGATATGTGGTAAATTCGGTAAAAGAAACAGGATTGAAATAAAGAAGAAAGTCAGTGGGATGGAACAAACGATTCAATTGACAAATATGACTAACTCAACCATGACAATTCAATTAAAATAGATGTAAAGGCACCGACAATCAGGCCGAGTATGTATCCCATTTTATCATAATAACAGTTACGTTATTTCAGGGTTAAACGTTAAGGTTAACGTTAACTGTTAAGATATAACGTGCACGTTATTGAGGAATTAAGACCATTTTTAGCAAATACTCGTATTGCAATTTTGTTGTTTTTTGAAGACGCTTTTGTGTCGACATTTTTAGTAATAATTAATTATGCAAAATTATTATAAACAAGAGTCAGTATTAGACAAAAACACATATAACTGGCAGATGTCTTTTAGGTTGTGAAACATGAAACAAATGCAAACTCGTAAATAACGGGTAAGTACGACATAATATAGTTTGTAACACGTTATCTTAAATTATCACAGTTTCTTAAAGGCAAGGAATTTGGTGTCGCTATAGTTTAACGTACGTGTTATTTGTCTAATGAAAATGAACGGCTTGTTAAATTTACATTTAATTGCCGGTTTTATAAACGCACATCGAAGGTAAGTTGTAAAATTTAAGTAACTTAGGTAAGTATTTACTCTAAAATTATTGTTAGGTTAAATCAAACGAAGAAGGATCTAACAAGGAAACTACCCTAACCCGAACTCTCCGATTTCCAATATTTTTATATATGTTGTAGACTCGGTTGTAGAACATAAAACATAAAATGACATATTTTTTTTATCGGCGGAAAAACATATTTAGGGGGTGACATACATCCTCAAAGTTCGCCCCCCAAAACAGTTTTTTCTAAATATCTGGGGTTCTAAATATTATTTTGGAATGAAAAATAATGGAAATTGTTTCTTATAAAAAAACGAATGTTTCACATTAGATTCCGTGTTCGGAGGTTGCTACCATTATTTTTTATTTCAGAATAACTATATTTTTAAACATTTTTTATATATAAAAAAATTCATATTTATTTGTTAAAAATATAAAAAATATGATTTATGTAAACAAATTGACAAAATTAAGTTCTCTTTTTAGGGGGTGAACAACTCTCTAGTGTGCTAAAAATATATGTACAATTATTAACATTGCAAAATAAAAAGTTTTTACCTTTTCTCTAATCATACGAATAATTTGTTCTATTAGCCGCAAACAGATTTAAACGGATGCAAACTACCACTCATGTTCACCCTCAAAAACAGTATTTCTGTGACATCTCAATATTTTGAAATGAAATAAAATGGAAATTACTTCTTTTAAAAAATAAAATGTTTCACAAGTGATTCCGTGTTTGGGGTATGCAACCCTTATTTTTTATTTCAGGAAAACTAAGTATATTTTCAAACATTTTTTATATAAAAAAAATTCATATTGATTCAAAATATTAAATATATGATTTATGTAAACAAATTGACAAAAATAATTTCTCATTTTACGGGGCGAACAACCCCCTAGTAATCCCCTAGTGTGCGAAAAATGTCTTTANGCGCCCAGGAACGACTTATGTTGGTAGGCCCTAACCACCATTCAGTGCAGGAATGAGGGAAACCTGGAAAACCTCATTAATTAGGGGGGTGGTCAAATACCAACCGGTGTCAATCTCTCACATTGACCCAAGCCAACATTCTTCCACCCTACCATACCTGCACAGAGGGCGCCAATCCTCCGTACAAGTATAGATAATCTACGGTCACCGGCCGCGGAATTCGAAACCCAAGCAGTTCGACACATCGATTTAAGTACTGACACCTTAAACCGTGCGGCTATCGACCGATTGATATTGATTCAACAAATTAAAAATATGATTTATGTAAACAAATTGACAAAAATAATTTCTCATTTTAGAGGGCGAACAACCCCCTAGTAACCCCCTAGTGTGCGGAAAATGTCTTTACTTTTTCTCTTATCATACGAATAATTTTTTCTCTTGGTCTAAAATGGATTTAAACGGATGCAAACTACCCCTCATGTTCACCCCCAAAAACAGTATATCTGTGATATAATCGGATTCTAATAAATATTTTGGAATGAAACAAAATGGAAATTACTTCTTATAAAAAACAGATGTTTCACAAAAAAAGAATTAAAAAGTATACTATCCGATATTCTCTAGAAATTAAAATTAGGAATGTGAGTATATTATACACGAGAAAAAAGATAAATAAATAATTGATTCAAGTAAAAAATAAAACCAGCCCATTAATCGATGCCATTAACTATGTTCATTTTAAAAGAAGTTTGCAACCCTTGACATTATGTTCTGTACTTTCTGATACAAAACTTTCTGTTTATACTGATTGAAGCAGGATTATTAAAATTTAACAGAAATATTTATTAAGAATCCAAAAATAAAAAGAATATTAGTGGCTCGAATATTAAGCTTTTAAGCACGAAGCTGTGATACTTCACGAAAAGAGACAGTAGAAAATTAAATATTGGGCACTTGTTTCTTTCTGCGGAAAAACTGTATTGATGGTGAAGACCATCTTTAATGTTCATACCCGAAAACACATTTTTCTATATAGGTATATCTTGTCCTCTATTGGCCCTATCAAACTTTTTTTGATTAAGCAAAATGAAAACGGCCTCTACTCAATAGGACGAGTTACAGTCGACTGAATACTAGATATTGCATCCCCCGGTAAAAATTGTTAAAATGGTAAGTTTTAACGGTTTTCATTTTCGTTCATTTTCTTCAATAAAAAAAATTAATTTCGTGTTTGTTATTTTCCATTCATTTTGGTAAATATAGTACCTTGCCACCTTGGAAAAATATACCTAAATTCGTGAAAATGAATATTTTTTTTAGAAACGTTACATGCATAGATTTTATTTTGTTCCCCGTTAATATCACTAACGATTTACCTGTCTTTTAGTAAAATTACAATTTAAATATCACAAATATACCTACGTATAAATTTAAATTTTAACTGAATTACAGGAAGAGTAAAATTGCAAGCTTCATGTAACTTTACTTGTGGAGGTAATTTTACATTACTTTGCGTGGCATCTAAAGATCTAGTATGAAATTGTACGTAAAATTTGTGTGAGTGTAACCAAACTTATGTACTTATCATATAAATTATTTAAGTATACTTTCTTTGTAAACTTATAAACTAATGCAAAAAATTAAAAGGTCAAAAGAATTACCGAAATTTTTCCGTGATTTTTGACAGACTGTATTTAGGTGAAAAATGGTCGCATCGGGAATTAAAAAAAAAGCATTTTGAAGCTCTAAGATTCTAATTCTTAGATCTTTCGGTTGAAATTTTTTAGGGACTACGGTTATCATGCAATTTTAAGGAATAGCGCGACAAAAATATTTTGCAATATTTTTTTTCTTTTTCTGAGCACGGACTTTGAAAAATTTCTTTCAGCTAAGCCATTGCATGGACCAGATAGCTTGTTTATTCAGCTTCAATTTCCTTTTTCTTAAATTTCGATACGACAATTTTTCATCGAAATATCGGAATTTTAATGGAAAAGGATCCTTTTGTCTTCAATATCGATATATCGGCGACAAATGGTAGTGCAGAAAATTGAAGGGCTGTTTCGAAAACTGGAATACATTTCCTATAACATGCTGCCGCGACTTTTCGGAAAAAATAACTTTTGAAAAAAATGAAAGGGTCACGTTTTTTTAGCTTAAACAATTGTTTCCAGCACGATTCGGCTTTTCCGTCCTATGTTTCTGTTCATCAACTTTTAATTAAATTAAAATTAAAGTTGATGACCCAAATCAGATTTCGATCCCGGTTCATACCGTTTTTTTAACAATTTAAACGTTTGCGGTAAAAGTGTGAGAAATTGAGAAAACTCAAAAAAAATTTTATTTCTATTTTAATCTCAAAAAACGTGACCCTTTAATTTTTTTCAAAAGTTTGTCTGTTTGAAACAAAGAAACGGTTCGTTAGATCGAGATGAAACTTGACAGGGTTCTTCTGGGTATATCGACCTGTAAAAATGCTTAACATTAGTCATTTCGTGAATATTTCTAATTTAGTAGTCAATTTTCTAAAAAAAAACTATTAGTGTCGTTTTTTTTTTTGACGTAGAACCAGGTCAGACATGGTAGGTTTTATTAAGCATGTGATTGGCCATATGAAATCGTATTTTACGACATTTTTTGTTGGTCGGGATCTTTTTAATT